GTAACTTGATGTAAGGCTTCCGTGTTATTTTTTTCCCTTGCAATTACAACCTCTCCAGTGAGGGGTGCTACTCTCTCTTTTTCCAGCGTTCTTGTTGTTTTTAGTGAAACAAAAAGCAGTGGTCTACTTGCCTGGCATCAAACAGCAGGCAGACAGAAGCAACAGCTGTTAGAACAAGTTTAAAACAAATATTATTTTCCCCTGGAGTTGGTGAAGACCAAAACAGAGCTAAAACGTTGCTCTTACACTCATTAAGTAGCCAAAACATGGCTCCAAATGAATGCTCATGGTTAACCCTGTCTAAGCTTGTATATTAGAAGTAGCAGCTTTGTAAGGTTAGAGCAGATATTTTATTTTTACCTTCATATAGAGCTCCTTTACCTCCAAGTGGACAAAGAAATCGGTTATTGCAGCTTTAGTGTTTTTTTTATGACAAGACATCTTGAAATCTATAATCTGTGAAATTGTATGTTCCAATCCAGGAAGATTTGATAGCAATGTACACGGATGCATCAAAAAAGGACGACTGAATGCTTTGAATTCTCTTTGTAGCATTGCCCATCTCCCCAGACGCTGTGTGACAGGACTTGTGTCTATTGTGTGTCTGTAGGCCGACTCCACACATGACAGGGTGGTGAAGCGGGAGGAGGGAGAGAAACTGGCAAAGGTGAGCTTCCTGACACACGAGTAGAAATAAGTGGTTATGAATCTGCCTGTACAGCCACGTGCACGTAAAACCCCCCCACTGTGCAGCAGCTGTGTCTTGATGAGTGTGTGTAATTATGTATTCATGAACACATAATGTTGTTATTGTTTGGAATAAATGATTTCTGGGTGGGAGGGGGTGGGTAACCTCATTTTCCAGGTTGTTTTGCTCAGATAAGCATGTGAGAGTGTGAATGCGATTATTATACTTTCATCAGTTACACACTGTGCTCGATCCTTCACATAAATTAGAACTAAGTGGGGAGAACTTAAGAATTAGAAATCTCATGCCGCCAGAATTATTGGTATTGATCAGCAGTCCTCAAAACTCTTTGAACCAAAACTCTGAATCCTGAAGCCCTTCTAAACATCATCTCTCTATCTGCGCCACTGGTCATCACCCTTAAGGAACACAATAGAGCAAATAAACACAATAAAAGATGTTTCTCTCTTTTTCCATGCAGGAGTTCGGAGTGCCCTACATGGAGACGAGCGCTAAATCTGGACTGAATGTGGAGCTGGCCTTCACTGCTGTGGCCAAGTGAGTCACACACACACAAAAACACATACCAGCCCAGTGTAAAGAGCACAGCAAAGATCCCAGTGTCCTCAGATTGAATAAAAACTTTACTTTGAAGGAGCCAACAGTTGTTGAGTTTTGTTTGTGTACTGTGCCTGTCAAAAACTAGGATGTCAAGATTTTAATCTTGAAGGGCAGGTGAAGGACTGTTACTGTTGTAACAGCATATGTGAACACATTTAAGAGCAGAAGCAAAAATTAGCTCATGTCTTACAAACACTGTGTCAGTCTGGTAATATATGAGAGCAGGATGATATAAAATATACTTTTTGAGATGATGTAGATGCATTTGTTCCCTGCAGCCATTTTATAATAGAAAATGTCAAAGTCCATCATCGAGGTAATAGAAACACAAACTACAAGATTAAACTCAAATAATCTTGTTTTTCTCAAGAATAATATTAACAAGAAAAAAATTAAATGTGAGAATACCATCTTACTCAAACATGTAGTGTTGGACTGTTTGTGTGGGAGCTTCATCACATTTATATCCTTTTTATGGGAACAGGCTTGTTGGGTGTTGGCAAGAGCATTCAGTCAGACACATGACAATCTGCGGATACAAAATGTAGCGACTTAGAATGTTTTGCTTATTTTGTAAATTCGGCAAATAGTGACACTTTTGATTTCCTAACACACCAAAAGAAGACAAATAATTAATTAACAAAAGTGCAAATTTTGCATCGGCAAAAGCAGGAGAAAAAGTAAAAGCCTTAACAATAAAACAAGTATCTCTGGGTTTTCACACCTGCCAAAAAAAGTCGATTGACTCAGTTCCCATCGCCAGAAGCGAAGTTTGCCTGTTTTTTTGTTCCCCAGTGAGTCATATCCGAAGTTGCGAGAAGGTGCAGCTCTCTCACTTCTCTGTCTTACCAGTGAAGTATTAATTAAAACATTCAACCGTGTCATGTTCCCATCACTGCCGATCAGGGCCGGATCCGATTAAAAACCTGTGTCTACTGCAGAGTCATTGACCAATTGAATGTCGAATGGATCCATTCCCATTCAGACAAAAGTCAGATGTAAATGGGGTTCTAACTAGTGGACAAGGGGCTTTAAACTTCAGCCAGCCACCTGGGGGCAATCCAGGCGTCTTGGCTTCACTTTTGGGCTGCCGTTGTTGTCATCCATCTTTAAATAAGGCCTACTGTTCACATTCTTTAACAAATCCAAAACATTGGATTTGTGGCAGTTTAATGGAAGATGGCGTTCTTCTTCCTCCACAACAAACTGTGACTGACCTAAGCATGCCGCCAACTCGCCAATGACTTGGCTAAGAGACTTGGCCACTGTCAGGAGGAGCAGGAAGAGCTGAGGGGAGGAATCTATAGAAATAAAAAATGATTGGTCACATTTCTATATATAAGAATAGGCCTCTGCTAATAATCACATACACAGTAAATGAATTGGGTTTTTTCATTGGAAATGTGTTAAAAACCATGATGATTTCATTCTAAATTGTTTTGCATGTTGTCACCTCTCTTTGTTAGCAGAGCTAACCATAGCCTTACATTATCACCTTTCTGTCTCAGAGAACTGAAGCACAGGACCATGAAGGAGCCTGACCAGCCAAAGTTTCAGCTTCAGGAGTACGTCGACAAAGAAATGAGGACTGCTGGCTGCTGCCGCTCGTAGACCACATGCTATCTGTGTGTGTGTGTGTGTGTGTGTGTGTGTGTGTGAGGAAGGGAACATGTACGTTCTGTTAGAGTATGTAATTAATTTGAATTGGTGTGTCTGGGAATAATCATGGATTCTCAGTGTTTGTAATATTTATTTTTGACGTGATACTGCCAATATGCTCTCTCTCCCAACCCACCTTTCCTCTGCAACTGTGAATGTAATATAAATTCCTATCTACATGCTTACACATATACAGTACATGCATGTTTATACACACACACACAACCTTGTACTTCTATCTTAGTAAGGACACTCATTGACATAATGCATTCCCTAAACCTAACATAATGCCTGTGCCAATTCGGAGCACTACATTTTTATCTTAACCCAACCATAACCACTTCGACACAATGCCTACTCCTAATTACCTCATGAGAAACAAACAAATAAAATACTCTTGTCAATGGTTAAGGACAGAGGATGTCACACCTTGTTAAGCCCTATGAGACAAATTGTGATTTGTGAATATGGGCTATATAAGTAAACTTTGAGTGATTTAAATGACCATTAAGTCAGAAGTTTAGAAGCCTCATTTGGAGAACCTACAAAAATAGCTTCCTGAGGTCATAATGCATTGACTAACTGATTGTCCTAAAACTCCTAAGCCTAACCGCCTTTGTCTGGAAACCTAGTGGTCAGGAGATTGATCCGTAAGTTACACCTTTACAAGATGAAGCTGCAAGTCAGAACTCTATCATCTTAAAGCTGGGCAGTGGGACTGCACTTGAGATACAAATCAGAAATATGACGAAAATCCACAAACATGGACAATTCACTCTGGATGGAACTGACTCAGCCTGAAAGTCAGAAATATGATTTGGTAAAGGCGATACAGGGATGGAGAGCTATTGACTGATGTGGGTCTGCCAGGACATTGCCTTTGGCTCCCCACTTCAACTGCTCAGATAACTTAACACTCCCTGACCCTAATGACAAGTCTTTACCCTCAAACAGACCTTTGAGGAATGCAGGATCGACCCCTGTCCTAAAGTTTAACGCTCAAAATGGTCCTCACAAAGCTGGCTGTACAAGTAAACACACACACACACTTTTATCATAGTGAGCACACCCATTGGCATAATGCATTTCCTGGCCCCTTACACTAACCCTAACCATCACAACTGGATGTCTATGCCTAAACTAAACCCTCAAAACAAGGCTTAACTCTCAAACAGACAAGCACCCCCACTCAGGAGTCTACACTCAAAATGGTCTCAACAAAGATATAACTACAAGTACACACCCACACACCTGTTAGATCCGTTCTGTGCCGTTTTCCATAAGTGTGACCATGTACATATCTCAAATGTAATTTTACTTTTGTGTTCTGAAATCTTTGTAGTATGTAAACGTCCCCGTCATGTTGAAACTCAAGTATATGAACACAAACATGCTAAATATTGAATCAATCTTCTTAATGTAATAGAAATAGATCTGATGAACACGTTCGTATGGATACAGCTCTGCTCCTGATGTTAAAACGTCAAATGGCACTGTGTGCTGTTTATGTACAGGAGGAAATATGATGTTTTTAATACTATATCCTAGTGGTCATGACTGTCAACAGCTGTCTGTAAAATTTGATTTAAGCTCTTTTTCATTTAGTCCAGTTTGGGTTTAAAGCTTTAATGTTTAATATGAATACATCTCTCTCTCTGTAATTATTAGACCATGTTCAATCAGTAAATGCATGTAGGCGTTCACTGACCACTACTGTACTTTGCATTTTACTTATTTAGGAGAAATCAGTTGTGTTGCATTTTCATAACTCAAGGTCTTTTCCTGGATCATCATGGGCTTCATCATCTTTATTATTTTTGTGTCGAATCCATGAAGTTGATGAAAGGTGGTGGAAAGCATCAAAGAAAGACATTTAATTAATTTGTAGTTTATATGTTAACATAATAATGTTGTTTGTATCACAGTGAATTTTAAACCACACCAAGCATTGTGTATAAAAACAAAACCTTGATGAAGCATTGGGAATCGTCCGACAGAGGTTGAACAGTTGCCTCTCCCTTAGAGCTGGGCAAAATTGCCAGAAGTGATCATCAAGATAAAAATGTTCATTTGATTTTAATAAATATCTCAACAAATGTCACATTTTTTGTTTAGTTTGAAGATTTTTGCTCCTGAGTTAAGATTGGGGTTTTAAAATCTTCCTTATTAGAGACAAACAGCAAAACATTTTGCAAATCTGAGGAAGAGCATCGAAACCGCTGATGTGTTAAACCTCCTCATCATGCTCTCACAATGAATAAGCTATATATTGAACTTTTGTCATATTGCTATTGATGAAAATTATATTGAGATAATCATCTTTTTATCTTTAAGCACCCAGCTCTGGTTGCTTTCATTCCATAGACGTGTCACCATTATTACTGTGCTGAGCTAATGTTGTGATATGGCTTCAGTCCCGAGAGGAAAATGGAGTGGGATGAAAGATGTTGCTGTTGTGGATTGTTTTCAAGGACAAAGAAAGATGGAGGATTCATGAGTAAAGGTTGCTTTGATTAAAAAAAACACAATTTTATTTATTTTCTATCATTGCTGCTTCTGCCGATGTT